ATTATAAACCTAGATTTATAAAGTTTTCCTCCACAATTATTGAACTTATGAAAGATGTTTAAATTCAAGAATACCTTTCTTGATGGAGTTCTTGAAAATCATAACTCCAATATCAAGGCAAAAAGTAGGTAGGTAAGTTCTATGTATTATCTTCACCTCCTCCACGATAGATCTTGCCATATTAAATTATGCCGCTGTGATGCAACCCTTGTCCATATGACATATTCAAATTTTACGTGTTATCTATCTCTGTCTTTCTCTAACTTAAAGGGGGGTCTATGTGGAAATTTTCATTTAGTCATGTTTATAAATCACATATTGCACTTTAATACCCCCATGTTGTTATTGTTTCAGATCTTAAAATGCATTTATTTCTAAATGGCACATGCGAAAAATAAGCACATGGTTGTCGTGGGTGTACAATGCAGTCATTTTCTTTCTATTGCAGGAATTCCGAAATTCTATACTTTCTTTTTTTTTTTTATCCCCTTCTTTTCTCTTTGTCTGATCATCTATGTGGCAGCAGCCTCCTTGAAGATTCCTTGTTATCCATATTTCATTTTCCAGCTTTCATGCCTTTTCTCCTTTAAATTTACCTCCTCTTTTTACAAGTTGTGATCTCTTCTTTAAGTGAAGATGAGGGTGATTGGGGTTAGAGAGGAAAATACTATGAATTAACTTGTTCTAGTGAACTGTGTTCTTTATCTTTCTAGCCCATACAAAATTATGGGAAACCTCTACCTAACAAAAAAGTGGGGAAGCCAATGTAAGGTGCATCTTGTTGATGTCTCTCTCGGTGGCATAAGCCAGTTAATGCCCCTATCTTTACCAGTTATTTTGTGCATTAACATTAAAGGCACTCCAATATCTGTGCATTTCTGTGCTTGATAAATGCAAGGTTTCTATATTCTCTACTGTGGTCCAATTTGCACTTTAGGATGTTGCATGGATACAGCAGTTCGTTGTGTGGAAAGCCCAAACGTTAAAAATTAGATTTGTTCTCCCTAGTGAGTTTTCATTCAGAGGATTTTTAGCCTGCATGTCTTCTGTTGTCTGTCACTAATTGTTAAATATTTCAGCATCTTATTATGGAAAGATAGGAGATATGCTAATCCTCATTTTCCATATATGACCAAGAATTAAATCTGCATTTTTTGACGGATTTACGTTGAGGTTTCTCAGCTAACAGTAAACTATTCCATTCCATAGTGAGTTTTCATTCATGGGACCTTTTTAGCGTAAATGTTTTATGTTGTCTATTTGTCACTAATTGTTAAAGATTTAACATCTTACTATGGAAGATAGGAGATATGCTTACTATTGCATTTGCCATAAATGAACAAGAATCAAAACTGGATTGTTTACAGAATTTACAGTATGGTGTACCAGCAGGTACAAACTATGCCATGCTTGAACTTTTTTCTGAATGTTCTCTTTAAATCCCTGTCCTCCTCCTGTTCTTTTGTCCTGCCTCAAATTTTGTTCTTTTGTTACTGGAAAATTTAGGAGGGATTAATTTGCGCAAGATTTTCTAGTTATTTCAGTATCAGTGTTTGGTTTTTGTTTCAACATTTTGAAAGTTATTCATTTTTATTTTCTTTCTTTCTGTCAGGGGGTATAAGCGTTTTTTCAGGCGGGCTATGCTTGAAACGTCAGATTTCCTTAAGGATGATTGCTTGAAAATCAATTGCACTGTCGGTGTTGTGGTTTCAGAAACAGATCGCCCAAGGTTGCACTCCATACGTGTCCCTGAATCTGATATTGGAGATCAATTTGCTGTGTTGTTGGAAAATGAAGAAAGCTCAGATGTTACTTTTATCGTGTCCGGGGAAAAGTTCTATGCTCACAAGTTGGTACTGGCTGCTAGGTCTACTGTGTTTGAAACTGAATTTTCTGACAGGATGGAGGAAGACGGTTGTGAAATACTCATCACAGATATGGAGCCCAAGGTTTTTAAGGTATTATTTTCATTATTTTCCTCTATCATTTTGGTTGTAATGCTGCTTAGGGATATCAATTTTCCGCATGCCTCCCAATCCCCCTGTGGATTTCCCAAATGGGACAGCGATGAGGGAGTTTTGCTACTTGCTGAGTCGGCACGGAGAGAAAAATCAACAATGCCAACTTTGTAGGGCAGGCATGGTGTGGTGCATCTTCCCAGCAGGGCCTTATACCATGCCTTTTGAAAAGTCTTACCGAAAAATTTACGATTTTATCCTCACATTAGATATGATATTACAAAAGAAAAACTCTAATTTTGAAGTTTTAAATGCAGCAAATAAAATCTAAACCCAAACCTTTGCTGAAAGAAAAAGCCCAAATTCGTAATAGTTGATTGGTATGGATTTTTTATAATACTATTTGACTTAGAATTAGTGGTAGTTATTTCTTTCAAATAATAATTAGGTAGTAGAAAAAATGACAAGGGGCAAGACAGGTCCGCATGGGATTAATTTCCATGCCGGTTATGGAGATGGGTATTGATTCCCCTTTCCCCATCCTCATTTTGTCCCATTGTCCTAACATTGACATCCTTATTGCTGATTAATTTAGAACGTATGGCTTAGTATGACACTGGAACATAGTTTCTACCATTTTCTCCTTGGTTTGTCCAGGCTTTGCTTCATTACATATACAGAGATACTCTAATTGAAGATGAAGGGCTCTCAGGGACAAGTGCTGTGACATCTGTATTCAACACATTACCTGCAAAGTTGTTAGCAGCAGCAGACAAATATGACTTGCCTAGACTTAGATTGATGTGCGAATCTGTATTTTGCAAGGATATATCAGTGGACTCCGTTGCACATATTTTGGCCCTGGCTGACCATTATCGTGCTATGGAACTAAAATCCATTTGCTTGAGATTTGCTGCAGCAAATCTTGTTGGTAAGTCTTTCTGGTTTATCTGTCTTTTATTTATTTTGACATGATAGAGACATTGGGACAATGATTACATTTGTCGTAAGTGCTGATATCATCCTTTAATATGCTTTGCTTGGTTATTTCCCAATTGTACTTTGTGGACTCCACCTTCCTCCTTTATTTTTTCTTCCTTTTTTTCAGAGCCTCACTTTTTTAAATCCAAAACATGTCTTGACACCTGAGATTGTACAAGTGACCAGCATTTTAAATTTCAGATGTATGCAAACAAATGTTGTTTGATTGGTCTTCTATAAAAATTACTTTAATGGTTCTTTCCAGTTTCCTTCTTGATTTCACCGCATGGTCAGCTATCCAATTAGATCAATGCAGGGGGTTGAGTTGGGGCAGATTTAAGAAGTCTCACTGCTTTTGCATATTATACATATGAGGTTAGAGAACATTAAAATTTAAAAAAAAAAAAATGGTAGTTTTGTGTCCCTCCTAGTGGGGTGCCAATGCTTCATAAATTTAGAAAAGGACCTAAGGTTCTTTAGTAGTCATTCTCATTGTGTATTGCTGCCCAAAACTGGTGCATTGGGTTATATGATGGAGATTGTTGAAAGTCTGTCACATAGCATAGCTAGATATCTATTAGCTCTGGCTTCACTTGTGCTAAATTTGATATTGGTCTTTCAACTGGCATAACTGTTGTAGTTGCCAAATTTTGATCCGACTTTAGTTTGCCGTGTCAATAAATGTTGAAATTCAACAATTTAAGCACGTAATGTTTATAAAGCTTTTTCCTAGTTAGGAGATCTTGAAGTTAGTGAAAACAAGGGAACTGCATGCAGAGTTTAAGGTTTTCATTATTACTATAAGCTATATTTTCCTATGTTCTCTAACCAGTATCCTCACTATCTGACTGCCATATTTGATGCAGCTGTTTTGCGAGCAGATGGTTTCCAGTATTTGAAAGATAACTACCCATCACTGCAATCAGAAATTCTAAAGACCGTGGCAGGATGCGACGAAGTCAGTGGAGGAGGAAAGAGCCGTAGTGTTTATGGACGGTATTCTGAAGGGGCTGACACACTTGATAGGAGTATCAGGCAACAAACCTGGGAAAATGGAGAGGAAGGAAATCGTAGTGATTGGATACCATTACCGTTGGTTGGGGATGATGCAGTTGATGGAAGTCCTATGCAAGAGGAATAATGTTGGAAAGACCTTGCATTTGTTTGTCAAATGAAATTAATAACACCAAAAGAACATAAAAGAGTGGGGAAAATGGGAAAGGTTAACACCAAAGGTGCTATTGCCCCCAACTTGTGATTTTTTGCCTTTTGGTTGTGTTTAATAATGGACATTTTACTGATGGCATTTTGATGGAAATCAAAATGGAATGCAATGTCATCCTAAACCCTTTGGAAGCACATTTAGAGCGATCATTTCCTTTATACGGTTGCAGCAATTTCGTAGTTTTTACTATAAATATCAGGTAAGGTGTGAAAAAGATGGAAAAAGGGAGAGCAGCAACTGATAAAAAGCAATTGCTAGGCAATTGTTGGTTCTGCCCCTCTATATGGAGAATGTTGGCTAAGATTTTTGGTTTGAAAATGCTTCACATGGAGGTTTTTAC